CTGAGAAAAAGAATTTGAAATAGTATTAACTTACAGAATACTGATTGTTCTCGTGCGTTTGTTCACGAGGCTTCCAAGTTTCGTTTAACCACTCTTCTTTGTACGAATAATTCTCTGGTAGAAGTACCACATTGTGGTCACTCTATTAGAGTGGTCTGGTAGGAGTCAAGGAGTTATATCGTGCATCATTCGTGATGGAGATTTTCTTCATGCTCACTCACACAGTCGCTCGGTATGCAGCTGCGGGGCAGATTTCCAGCCGCCACCTTCAACTGATAACAGCCCGTTGATTGTCCGCTTGCTTGAGTTCATTGGCATGAAACTAATAAATGGTGGTCGCAAGCGCTTAATTTCCAGTTGCTACATTCTTGTTTTAAATTATTCACTTTCAAACCATGGTTCTTGGTCAAGCATCAGAGACCCTGATACATTGCACCCAGTCATGATGTACTTCATTACCACGTTTTTTGGTCTAGAACGCCAGTTGCTTTAGCTCAACTGATAACATAAATCGTCATGACCGGGGAGTGAGCGTTCAGCTGAAATGAGTTCATATAATCCACCGAACGGAGTTCCCTACTTTCGAAGAAAGGTATTGGATATAAAGGCTACTGAGCTCCTGGTTGTTGTCTTCGAATTACTGACGTTGCTGTGAAGTGAGCCGTTTTACTGTCTTTTAGTTTCGGTCGGTATGTTCTTTATTTTAGTAGACCGTACGTCCTAATGCATTCGATGTGTGTCGCACTATTGCAGTCTGCTGCCGGTTTCCTCATCAGCGGTCTCGGAATAATCATCATCGTCACATTGGCACTTTAATAACCTTGCGTTATCGAGACCAATCACATCCATCGAGTAAGGTTTATTTACGAATTCTTCCCGTTAGTACTCGTTGGGATCTTCAAGTCTCTTGATGTTGTGAACGCTTCAACGCGTGCGCCTGTTGTTCACTTGCTAAGCTATTAACTCCGAATGTTAATTCGAGTTTTTCGCTTACTTCTGTTCGGAAAGCAACATCACTGACAGAATTGATAGACAGGCGCGTGACTAGTCATAAGATGCAATACCCACTGGGTTAGTTCGGCTTTTGTATCCTTCGTGGTCCTGATCCACTCAAGAGGGTTGTGGTCCGTCTCTCTGTAGAACGTTTGACTTGGCAAGTGCAATCTCCACTTGTCTACTGCCCAGAAAATTATTAAACTTTTCTTCCAAGGAGTGAACAACTTTGCTGTGCTGACGTATGGATTCCATTGACAAATATAGTTATTCTTCCCACTTGACTAGGCACTGCCTCACTGCCACGGTCACTGACATCCGCCTTTACAGAAAACGTTTTGTTTGTAGTCAAATGGCTCCGTATCAGCAGTTGCGCTTCTTTTTCTTAATGCACTCGTATAAATATCTTAGGACATGGCAGGTCTGTCTACTTTTCTTGTCCTCACAAAGAAAGATGTACAGTAGTGAGTGATGATATTTCACTCGCCGACTGTAGTATCCTGCTTGATCCAGAAACTACTTCAGCGTGAGCTTAGAATTGGGAACCAAGGCTTCTCTAATTGTCATTATTTTACCTGGCATTGACTTGATCAACTTTGCCTCTTACAATCACCACCGATGACAGTCCGAATGGTGACTTATCCGCACTGGTCCAGGGCCAGTAGCAGGTTACGTCATCCAGCAGTTCTGATTATCATAATTTTGGTTTCTACGTCTTTCCTCCCTCATCGAACGATCACCAAACTAGCCGCGGATATTGATCAAGCATAGTCAAGTCTTCCCGTCAACTACAGCACAGGCATACTCCCAGCTCAGTAACCTTCATTACTGATCATCTCCCTCAGTTAAAATAAGAGTCCTAGGACATTATTTTAAACTCCTCAAACCGCCGGTTGAGCAAGTATCATTTTCTGCCACCGCTGAGACAGCTTTCTTAATTATCGTTCTTTCATGATGTTGATCTCAGCGCAGCTACATTCGAGGTCTTCTGTTCCGTTGCCCTCTATCAGTGCTTTCTTGTGCATACTGTTGTTCACATCTACCGAGGCCAATTATATAAAGTCCAGCTCCCTCGTCACTTTTGCGAGTTCATCAACGTCTATTCGTTGGGTGATGTGAGTGGTACAGACTCAGTCTTTAACAACTATCCCGATACCTTCGTTCAACTGTTTCATCAGCAAATGTCGCCGAGAGTTTTGATCCAATCCCCTATCCAGCAATCCTTGTAGATTGTCCGGGAGCACGAATGGTTCCGCTTCTTTTCCAAATGTGACCGTGAAATTCTGACAATCGACCGGACTACCAAACGTAGTCACCAGCGCTTCCTTCGCAGCTGACTACTCCCTCCTAGGGCTTCTTCACGCTGAATCGATCACCACCTTCGCCATGTCGTTTATTAGAGTCCGCGTGACAGTCATTTACCCAGGCCATATCGACCATAGCCTTGAGGTCTTCCAGGAATTGCAGGATTGCCGCAGCCAGGGTATCCCCGGGTTTGTCACCAGCCTTTGTGACCACAAAAGACGCTTGGGCTGGAAAGTTGTTTATTTCTGAACATACAGGATATTCGGAAATACGTAAATACGACGGCAGACCTTATTTGTGCTGCTGACGTTCAATCACACCCGTTGGTGGCAGTGTATCACCAATCACCCGGTCGACACGTTCTGCATTGTGTGCATACATATTTTCAGTCGCTGCCTCCAGCTTTTTGTTGAGAACTGCTCTTTCGTTTCCGTTCGCTCCACTCGTGTAATATTGCAGCGAAAAGGCGTCCGATAAAGTACAATCTTCACTGTCCAACGCGATGGTTGCCATGCTACCCGCGTGTTCGCGTTTATGAGTCAGAATTCCAGTCCACAACACCCCGCTCCAGGCTTCCGCTCACACGTCGGGTGCACTTTCGCCTGGTTTATATGTGTGATCGGCCCCTTCTATCGGGTGGTTTTCCGCCTGCCATTCTTCGACCGTTGGTCCGATTTTGTTGAGCGATGGCTCGTCCGGTCGCTCGTGTTGTTCTCCATTTATCCGCTGAGATGGTTGACCGTATTCCACGACCTTGTCGAAGTATTCCGGTGAGTGTTGGAATAATCGCGCCTCCGATATGGCCCTCCCTCCTATTTTGACTGCCATGTCTCGGCTGTTGTTCTGATCCAGTCGAGCGGTGTCTCATCCGGTCACCCACGCTGTCCCCTATACGCTCGCTGTGGGCTTTTGGACGCACCGTCCCTCCACGTTGAGGTATTCCACCGAGTGTTCGGATACTCACACCTCAAGCCTGATAATCCACCATAATATTGCTCGGTAGTGGTGCTGTATATTATATGAAATTACTGTGACTGCCTATATCTCTGTGAAATAGTTACCAGAAATGGGTACAATGGTACAATGAAGAAGGGGTCAGTAGTAGCATGTTTACACCTATCTACCCTTCTGGATGCGGCTGATATAGTGAGTTGGTTTTTGCCTTGAGATGGTATGTGTAGTAAGAAATTAGTAGTGTTGGTAGAATCCATAATTGTTTGGCTCAGATACTTCCGGCATATCTAGGACTAGACCACAGAATTGCTTCGATTATAAACCACAGTATTTTACTTAAAAAATTGTACCGCAAGGCAGTTGGTGGGCGCCAGGGAATCAGAACTAGTACAAAATTTCCCTGGACAAAGATTTCGGGCTTCTTCTAACCTCCAGCCTGAAGTATTAGGAGACCATAGTTGGTCAAACCTTTACATATAGATGGCTATATCGTTGATATCATCGAACGGCCAAGTATAGTCATCGAGTTGCGCAAGCTGTCACATTACGTTACCGAGATGGGTGCATCCACCCACGTCTAGGCCGTCGATTTTCTTTGACGAGCACAACCAAACACAGTACACAACCCAAGCCTGGATGATCGAAAACAAACAGACTATAAAAACAGGACGCTTTCAATCAGCGAAATACGAAACAAAAGCGAAAATGCTCCCTGATCATAACAATACATATTTCTGGTGGATAAATACAGTGGATTATATGATCAACGTTACACTGCAAATTCCGTTTAACCTGTTTGAATGTACTCGTGATTTTGGTTTGCCCAACATAGGGAATATAGACATCGACGAGTGAATCATGTTAGACACACCCGTAATAGGCGCGAACCAACTGTCTCACCGGTTTCTTCGTTCAGACGACCTACTGTATATGATTGAAAATTCCTAAATTGGGTTGCACAAGCGGAATGAGGGTGACTACACCGAAATTACTCCAGAACGTTCCGCGAGCTGCCCTTATTAGTTTGCCTGAGGCGTAACCCCCTAGCTAGATAGACTTGTCTGTGCACGCCGGTTACACCCAACAGCCTACTTGCTGGACACCAACCGTCAACTGTATGGGGCAAGTAATGGTGGTAATCTTTTTTTTTTTCAACAAAAACTGTGAGGCGCACAAAAGAACTAGTGAACGCTGATAAGCAGTAGAGGAATTTGGGTTGATACTAGATATGCGTCACTCACAAATATTCCCAGTTAATGCATTCCAACAGACTTTTCAGCAGCGCGCTTTCGAGCAAAATACTTGAGGTAAAGTTTTGATCGTTTTCGAGCTCGTCAGTAATCCGTATCGTTTCCACAGTCGGGGTTTGAATTCTGGCTAGACTTTTGGGGGCACCAATGCTGGTCAGTGCGACATTGATCTCACAGTAGGTACGGCCGAAGTGTCGTAGACAAACTTTCATTCAGAAACACTTCTGAGTAATGTTCGTATTGTCTGACTGTCTCGATAACAGAAACATTGGCTGAGCTACGTAGCTACAACGGCAGTTCAGAAGTTTCATACCAAGAATCAACTAGCCGCCCAGCCCACTTTGTAATGCGGAATCACCCAAATAATCCAGGGGATTGATTATCCCAGCAGGATTTTGTAAATAATTCAAGCTGGACAGTCAATCTGCTGGACCATTTGGTGGATTACGCAGGATACAGTGTGTTACAGAGTGACTGGAATTTCCGAGCTGCCGACGTGGTTTCGTAGCTCAGTTGGTAGAGCACTTTTGGACGCTGTGTTTCGGTAACTGGTACGAACTCAGTCGAAACCTAGATGTTTTGTAATTAGATTTCATCTAAAGTATCAAATTTGTGCTACGTTAAATGCTGTTATGTTAACTCACTATTTTAACAGACTCCAAACTTATGGTCATGCACTTTTTGTCTTTTCAATCTTTCTACAGATGGGGATGTTGTTGTTTTAACTACGTCGCCTGCGTCCACTAATTACGAAGACACGCCCAGAACAAATTCATCGAGGTGCCCTGTAAACACACGTTTATAGAATGATACGTATGACAACCATTGCTCACACACCCTGTTGATCGTTTGATGGCTATGGTTTCTGCACGATTCGGAGAACAATGCGGCTGCTGGACATACTTTAGACAAGGTTATATTTTCAGCCCAAGTAAGATTTTGTGATCCAGAACGAAGTATGAAGAGGGCTCATAAACACATTTATGTACCTTAATAATCAAAAATGCGG